TTTTTTCGAGGCGGTTCCTCGTCCCCACGCGACACCCGCAGCTGCCCACTTTTTGTTGTATATAAAAAGAACATGTATTTAGTAGAATATAATATATACTCGAAGTATAAGTGAACATAAAATCTCCGGCAATGATGCGCAAGGCGCGCGTACTTTGCGTGACGTTGGCGTTTTTTCCGTATCCGTTAAGATAAATATGACATTACAAAATAGAAAAAAAAAAACAAAAAAACAAAAAAATTTATTTAATATTGATTATAGTAAAGATACAACCGGTTGACGATGATGAGCGTTAAGATATACGGTCAATACAATACGCATTTTTCGTGAAGGAATCTGCGTTTACTTGCGCTTTTTTCACTTTTTATTTATTATTACTCTGAACTCGAACGTTTTGGCGTTTTATGAAATTGGGACGATGTTACAACGAAAGGCGGAGCGATAAAAGCCTTGACTTTATTTTATATTTTTATTTTCATCAATCCTTCCTGATTCATGAAAAGAAAGATTGCAAAGAATCGATCGAGGGCAAAGTACAAAATACAGAGTGATGACAGTTGCTTTGCGCGATGGATCAGGAGCGGAAACACAAAAAAAAAAAAAAAAAGCGTCGCGCGCTACTTGATCGTTATTAAACGATCCTGAGTACTCGAGAACCTGAAGAACAACCCGTGTTCTAACGTGAAACTGAACGGACGCGGGAAGAACGCCGATCGGTAAGACGCGCGCGCGTTGCTCCAAGGGAGATATAGTATATATAGTATATATATATATAGATTGGATAACGATGTGGATGTTGAGGAGTGAATAATGCGCGAGCTATCGCTACGTCGACGATAATCGCTTCGTCCTCCCGCGGGGAATGAAGAGGCGATCGGCAAGAACGATCACCAAGCACTCCCTCGAGAAAAGAACGAATCGCCGTCGGTTTGGAATAAGCAAATAAAAAAGAAACAATAAATAAGAACGATTCGTACGCCCAGTGACGACCAATCGCGTGCATGATCGATACACTCTGCCGATCGTACGTATACTTGTACGTACTTGTTTGCCGTTTCGCCGGGTTTTCGACGAACTGACGTGTGCTCGGATCTGTAACGTGATATTTTTTAGTTATCACAAATATGTAAAGCGTTTTGAGCACATCCTTACCGAACTAATCTTTCTAAAGTATTTTTAGAAGATTTTTGGTATTTTTAAAATCTTATCCGAGTAACTAAAAATATCTCTAAAAATACTATCTTTATTCAAACGACATATACATTCGAAAGACTATCTGTAGAAGCAGATTAAAACAGAAAAAAGAAAAAATTTTGAGATTGAAACTCGGCGATGTTGCAAACACCGAAGATCTCGAAATCTGGTTTCGAATTTTGGCGAAAGAGTGACGAGAGAGAAAGAATGGATGCACGCGACGTCGTGATGGGCGCCGCGATCGAAAAATATGAGGGCGATCGTCGAAAGGAGGGAAACGCGTCGCTTTGATCGGGGCACGGGAACGAAGGATAATACGCGAGCGTTTCTCCGATCGATCGCGCGCACGATCGACGCCCAGATCTAGCGGTTAAGATCCAGACGGCGATCGAGCGCGCGAGCCACGCTTGGTTGCGCGCGCGGTTATCGATATATCAAACTCTTGATCTCATAGTGTCTTTTATATTTACGTCTGCGTAGCGGTTAATTTTCAACGATTGTTCGTAAATGATGATTATCGATAGTCGCATCGATACCAGCAAATTCACTACCAACCTATTTTTTTTTTTTACTTTTCATAAGGATTTTTATGCTACGTTTTCCGAAATAGCTGATCTTATGTTTCTATTATTATTATTATTATTCATATTAACATTGTTATCTATGATTATTATTAATATAATTACTTTTACTGTGTAATTACTATTATCGTCATTACATTATTATTAGTTATTATTATTATCGATATTGCTACTATTACTTCTATTTCCATTATTATCCATATTTGCTGCCGCTAATTGCGATTGAGCGAAAGAGGGAAAGGACTCGGCGAACACCTCCTCGATCGGCGCGAAAGGACAAACAAGCGACTTCGATCGACGCGTAATCCTTGCGATCGATTCTTAAAATTTACAGAAAAAAAAAAAAAAAAAAAACGATTTTTGGTTAACAAGCAAACGAGTTTGTTCAGCGTGAATTTTCGCATTCATAAGTTCTGTTTATCTTCTTTTCTCTTTTTTTTTTTTCGTCTGTTTTTCACCAACGTGGAGGCGAGCTTCGTCACGCTGCGCCAATTAATGCGCGTCGCAATCAACGTTTTCGTTTTTTTCTCCCGTCGAGGAAGGCTCGTCGTTTTCGAAGGGCGAACGGTGTGTTTTTGGAAGAAAAGAGGGAAGGGACTAAAGAGAACCGGATGAAACCGTGAAAAAGAGAATAAGATACAAAGGAAACACAGTGCCTACCACTCCGGTCTGGAAACTCTCGTACAAAAATCATATACAGGGCCAAGAGGAACAAAGTATAATGTTAGTGTTGATAGCTATTTACACGAAAGCGCAATAAGAATTATTACGGTACGATTGCTCCGAAATTCTCGCCTCCTTACTTAGGGCACGTCTCAGGAAGCTAAAGGGTGATCAGATTTTACATAGTTTTCGCGAAACGAGCAGGGATCGAGGTGGATAGAATTGCAGTGAAGAAAACGGAAAGAGGGGGGAGATATGAAGGAAAAAGCCGTTGTTGTAGAAGTAGCAGATGATCTTTCATGAGTAACAGGCTGTGTCGATTCTAAAGTTATTACGAAAACGCTTCTTCGCGGACAGCGCTACATATCAGGCCGCGTAACGCCACACGCTCGTGGTCGCACAACTAATCGCGATATGTCGCGGCATTAAACGCATTCAAGAGAACTGCCAGCAATACAGGTACGCGCGCAATACTCGCGTCTTCATGATTAACAAATAAAGTGGTATCGCACATCGAATTATAGCGCTTTGGATGATTTTTTGGTGACGCAACGAATAAAGATATTGACACGTTCAATCCGCGATCATCGATTTAACTTTCGAGTATTATAAAAACATTACAGGATCGTTCGAAATTAATGATTCGAGTTCAAGACGGTAGTGAACCTTTAATCTTCGCGTTGCCGAAGCTCCGGGCTTCGACTCTCGTGTCTGAAGGCGGTGCAGAACTACGCGCGACAGGGATATGAATTCAGATACCATAAATTACTCGGGTAATTTGCAGCTGAGCGCTCGCGACGACGAAGGGCACTTGTGCAAACAGAGAGCGACGAGCGAAAGAGCACGGGAAACGGACTTCAGGACCGGCCGAACAGAGAGCGCGAGTCACCTTTTAACGTTTACAATCCGCCTGCGCGACTCGCTCTGTAGCTTCATGAAAGCCATTGTTCGCGTGGATAGAGATCAACGATAAGTACGCAACGCGCATCGCCACGTATGCTAGCTGGGTCACAGTTCGCACGCGTGAGAGGCTCCGACCTCTCTTTCTTTTAGGCTACGATTATAGCGGGTGCGCGCTCGGACGAAGTGCCATTCTTACAAATTTATATTGAATGAAATATTCGAACCCGCAAAATGCCAATTAAAAGTTTCAAACAAATGCGAGTTTGATAATATATCGAACTGCAAACTATTATTAAAAAAAAAATACAATATTGATTGGATTTATATGTTAACAGAAACTAAAAAATGAAAAAAATTTATTACACGGTACATCGTTTATCGCAGATTTCTTTTGAATTAATATTTGCATACACATTTCTGATAAAAAAAATTGTTTGGCATATAAAGAACCGGCTTATACATTTGATCGTTTTTATCCGTCCGAGATTTTGTCACGTTAGATTTTTTAGCGTTCGCAAATTAATGGCCGGCGCTATATAGATTATTCACCAAATAAAACTTTTCGTCCAAGCCTGCATTCGTTATTTATAGTCGTGCCTTTGCATGCGCGCAGCGAAAAAGGCGGGGGAAGCGTGTGTCCGCTTGGCGGACAGGAGCGGGAATTTCGTATTCGAGTGGATACAATAGCGAAGATACCTAAAGCGATGGATATATATTGCAGAAGCGACCAAAAAAAAAAAAGGGAAAAAAGGAGGAAGTTTACGAATGTGTTACAAAGTATATGGAATGAGATACGTAGTTGTATGTTAAAAGAGAAAAAAAAAAGTCGCGGCGCCGCGAAGAATGCAAGACGATGCCGACATGCGTTTCACTTTCCCGTAAAGATTTATCGGGATGTTATCGAGCGTTTCTCGCGCTGCCGTCTCTCGCACCGCAAGCGTGTACACATCATGGCGAGAGCCGGGAACGTGGGAAACTCTGATTTAGTGCTTCCACCAAATTCTGTCGCTGCAGTTTCTCTTAATTTTCCTCTTCACGCGCGGATCGTGTTGAGTTTGCTTCGTGAAACACACAACGGTGCTTTGTGAAAGATGATTGATATCTTTAAGATGTATTTTTTTGCGAG